GCGACCACGGACGAGCGACTACGGGGAGCTTTTCGCGTCATCGCCGCACCGAAATTTCCCAGGGAAATTATTTTCGATAACGTCCTGACGTTTAACGGCTGAAACGCACGGTATTACGCACGCTTCATACGTTTCATCGAGCATAAGCCACCGTAGCTCGAACGCGGCGACGAATGCAAGGGTTATACACGGCTCTTCCCTCCCTTGAATGAAAAATACATAAAAAATATCGCGCAAACGTGTACACCTGGAAAATAAAAATATGCATATGAATACTAAATAACATGGCGTCACGTCGAATCGTGTAAATCGCTCGATGTGGGAAGGCAATTTTATTCCGAGTTATGTATTAAATTATTGCTGCGTTACTCTCTCTCTTTCTATCTCTGTTTCTACTTTCCTCTTTCTCTCTCCCTCTCTCATTTCTCTCTCTCTCTCTCTCTCTCTCTCTATTAATGTCATCTGATAGTAATTTGTATAGCTTCACTTTCTATCATTATATTTTGCATGTAACGTTTGAGTATTTCTTAGTTTTTTGTTTGCTTTTTGATCTAATGCTCCGACGTGTACGAGTTATTTTTGCTTCGAATTAACCAAAGCACAAAAATCACAGCATATCACTTATCTCTATATGCGCGTTTTAAATCTAGCACTCTATTTGTGCTTCTAATTTTTTTTTGTATACTGTAAACCCTAGGTTATTAAGCTCCAGAATTTTAATAAACTCTTCTCTTCCTCTCCTCCCTTTCCCTCTTTTTCTTTTCATCTCGTGCATCACATCTTTACTTTCAGTCACCACGTCGAAGGTTTCTGCTTTACGACGGTGATTACTTCAACGGATATGAAATTATAGTTTCTTTATCGCAGCGTCCCTGGCAGAAATTTAATGCAGTTTTCGAGCAGTTACTGAACAATTATGTTAACTTTTGCCTCGTAACTGAAAAGTAAAACTACTTAAAATCAAAGCGTAACGCTTTTCCTGCACTTACTGCGCATGAAAGATGCCTAAAATTTGAACCGAGTTACTGAACGAAAAATGGACAAGAAACTATTCAATTGATTAATAAAGTTTGCTGCTCAAAAAATGTGCAGGTTTATCCTAGTATTATTTTAAATGTTATTGCTTATTTTAGTGTGTATGTGTGTGTAGGAGAGAAGAAAAATCTGAAAAAAATTTATTCGGTGGTTATTAATAACATATTTATCTAAATTTGAATTTTTTTATTTAAATGGAATAAATAATTGCTTTTACGAAAAACTAAAGTTTTAAGAAAATATATATTTTCTTATTTGACAAATATTTTATATCTAAATAAGTAGACTCCTGACAGTTTCTTTTTCGCGTGAATACGCGACGAGCTAAGACGTTTAAAATATTAATAGCCAATAACAAATAAACGTTTTTTATTTCTCAAATATTTTTCTCTCAATGTAATCAGAGTCACAGCGCGCAGAAAATCTTTGATATATAATATATTCATGTTTTATCCGTCCTTTACGTGACACCTTTGACAATCATCAAACGACATATCTTCTTTTATCCATTCTTATAGTTACTATTTACTTGTAGTTACTATTTAATTCTTGTAGTTACTATTTAATTCTTGTAGTTACTACTTAATTAGAAATTCTGAACCTGAGCTATATATATATATATATATATATATATATATATATATATATATATATATATGACAGTTTTCATTTATATCATTATTATTATATCATTATAACATTATATCATTTACATCAGACGTCAGATGTGTTTTCTGATCCCAATGAAATTCTGCATTATTAACATATACCTCATTTGCCTCTTATTCATCTTCATTTCTAATCTTGGTTGTCGTCTCTGCTAGGGCTTAATATTGTTAAATGTCTTATTTCCTCCAATTTGCTTTGTGTCTACTCTGTGTCTCTATACGTTCACTCATTATTTAAGCAATATTTCAAGCTCTTCTTTAACAATGTAAATAAATGTGCTCCAAATTTATTCACGACAGACATTATATGCCACGTGCGCACATTGTAAAGCTGAATTAATATTACCGATACTGTATCTTGCAAAGAATCCGCCCACATATCGTGCAGTATGCTTCCGAGTCGAAATTTTAGTCTTACTTTCAAATCTAAACTTTCTAACACCTCTGTATTCTGAAGGATCAGTGTGTGTTTGGTACACATGGAAACTGAAGTCCTACTTAACGCCTCGAAACAGCAGAGAACACTCAAAATGCCACTTGTAGGTTCTAAAGAGGACTTCTCGACGAAGTTAGTAGGTTAAATAGAAACACAAGATATTGATGTAAACCTCCGAATATCAAAACAGGCATTATATGGAATATCGTGGCCGGAAGTAGGATCAAAACTCGGTCTGCTTCAACCACAGAATTAAACTCTACTAAGTTCTTGTTCAATTCCTCGGTTCAAATACTCGGTGTTTCTACCATTAATGAGAATGACTGAACACAGGACAACAACTGGACGAGTGTCTACGCAAACTGCATGCATTTCTACCAGAGACCGTCCATCTCGTTTTTCATATCTTCCCGTACATCCATCTGTATCTCCCTTTCTCTCTCTTTCTATATATACACCCGCATCTATTTCCCTCCGCATGTGCGCCGCTATTTTCGGCATTTCGCGGCATCCGGTATTTCGCATGTACCGTGGAGAACCGTGGTGAAATTAGGGCTGACACATTCGGACGACGGGCGTCCTTAACGCGTCCCCGCCGCCCGGACGGCGGCGCCATTTGCCGGCAGCCGGCCGCTTTATCGCGAAGGTGCAATTTATTGTAGGAATTATCCCTCCGTCGCACGCACACGGTGACTGACAATTACATTTTTCCACTGTCTGACCATGAGCTGTCCCTTCGGCCGGCCACCGCGCCCATTTTTCGTCGTGCTCGCTTTGTCCGCCTCGCGCACGATCCGAAGCGTGATATGTGTTGTAGCATCGGGATGCGTGACATCGATCCGCGAGAAGGATCGGACGGGCGGAACGGCGGCGGCGGCGGCGGCGGCAGGAAAACAAAAAAAGAGCCCGTGCGCGAAAGAAGGAAGCGGAGGGCGAGGCGGAGGGGGGGAGGGGGGAGGGATAAATTGCACGGCGACGCGGATTTATTCGAGCGCGATACGTTACCGTTCGTGACGCGACTCGGCGTGAATCGACGCTCGCGATACTTTTGAGCGACGCCACTTTCGCTCGACAGACAATGCGCCAATTCTCGCGATCTGACGAGAGAGAATCGGCGGTTGAAAACCGCCAGGAAGAGACACGAAAGAGAGACACGGAGAAGGGATAGGGAGAAAGAGGAAGGGAGGGAGACTGAGAGAGGGAGAGCCGGCTCTTTCTCACGGTAGAATGAACTCGCTCTAATTCGTCGATAGCAGTTATCAGGCTGGCTGGCTCCTGACAGCTCGCGTGAATGCGCGACGGGCTAAAGCGTTTAAAATAAAGGCGCCGTGCGATAAAAAATTCCCTATCCACGTTTCGCCGCGACGACATAAACGCACGTATTCCGCTAAAATCGTCCTTCTCGCTCGCCTCGCCTCGCGCTCTGTCGCTGATTCGAAACATGAAAGTAATATGAAAGTATCGCGCTTATGCCCGCTGCGTTATATCTCGCGGACCGATCTCGTGTACAGCCCAAAGCCGATTTCCCTCTACGGGAACGTCGAGGGACATCGCCGCAATTTTTCTACTTGCCGACGAAATCGCGTATCGTGTGACTGAAATCGATATTAATCTTTCGCGGGGCAATCATGCGTTTTTAGGATCTGTCAGACCCGAACGAGTTTGAAGTTGACTTTATTGAAAATCGATACTTTGGCACGCATTTTCTTTCCAAGATACGGAGAAGCCTCAGCTACAAGATAGCGGCGCAATAAAATCAAAATCCGCGCAAGCAGATTCGCGCCATTTTGAAATTTTCTCGAAATCTTTACGGAAGTTGGTGAGACGCCGAATATTTTCTTCGGATTAATCAATTTTTTATTCATTAAGAATACTTAATATAAATAATATTAAATTGTAATTAAATGATATGAATAATATATAAAGTAATAAATAATATGCAATATAAATATTCTGCTATAAATGTGTCGATGTATTGAGGTAAAAGCAATCCATGCGATATTGTCGCGTATAAATAGACGGATCGGTTGGGAAGAAAAATTAAAACTAAATTGCGAGCAACGAGGGGTTAATATTCCATCAAAGAAGAAAATTCACTCAAAATTGATCGAGGGTAATTCTTTACCTTCAAGGACGTATTGCTCGTATCTCAAGAATAATATAAAAATTTTTAAAAAATTACAGATTAATCTGTATTACATCTAAAAATGTGATAAATAATTTGATATTAATTCAAAGCCTAGACCAAAAGTTGCTCCACTTTGAAGTCTTCACTTCAAAGTCCAACAAACATGATAATATCAAATGACGTTTTAATGATATATCATTGACGTTACAGACACCATTAATACGTCATTGACACGTTATTGACACCATTAATACGTCATTGACACGTTATTGACACCATTAATACGTCATTAAATATAAATACGCCATTTGAGTATTTTTAATCGTGCTGTTATGAAAATATATTACTATCTTCAAGAGGAAAAGTTAACTAAAAAACAATGAAAAAAATCTCAATTTTTATATGTATGTATTTCATTCGAAATGATAAAGCTTCAATTCAGAAATAAAAATCAGTTTAAAAAAAAGAGTTTTAAAAAATATGGAACAATGTAAAACAGACTATGAAAAAGCGATGTTAAAGCAAAAACATGTTATTAATTCAACTGTATCGTATGCATACATACCACACGTTTTTATATTGGAAAACAGAAATATTAACATATTTCTAATTTCCTCTTTGCAAGGATTACACGGGCAATGCGTCCTGAATGCGTCGCTGGATGCAGGAATATTCCCCAACGCGCCAGGAACGCCTCTCGATACTTATTCGCGATATCTTTTTCTGATTTCAGGCGACTTCTCGCTGCACATATACCCGGTGGAGCTCGAGGACGACGGCACGTATCAATGCCAAGCTTCGCCGACGAACGACGGGCAGCCGGCGTTGCGATCGCGATTCGCCCGGCTGAGCGTCCTGGTGCCGCCGCAGAAGCCGAAGATCGTGCAGGGCGACTTCCTCGTCACCACCGAGGATCGCGAGCTGGTGATCGAGTGCATAAGTGCCGGCGGAAAACCGCCCGCGGAGGTGAGAAGCCCGCTTTTCCGCATATTCCGTCGCTTTGTCATCGTATATATCGATAGGATTACCCGAGATTAGACCGGATTAACCGCCGTGAAAGCAACCCCCGGCGATTGCGTCCGGAAACTTCGCGGATATCCCTTGGCGATGGCCAGTAGACCGCCTCGGAGATTACGACCGATCGATTTTACGTCGAGCCGCGCCTCTCTTTATCGTTTTATGTATCCCCGAAGACGTTTATATGTAGCACAAGCATACGGGATCTTTTTAGAAAAGAAATACGAGCTCTCTCTCTCTCTCGCGCGCGCGCGCACGGGCGTGCATATAATTCGCTCAAACAAGCAGGAGTGCATAAAAAGAAGCCTCAACAAATACACGTCGCAGAACCGGTCGCAGAACCCTTGAAATAATGAGATACTGGTCGATAATGAGATACTGGGTCTGTGTGTGTTTCCGAGCAGTTTCCGTACGAGAAGCGTCTCCGCGTGTTAATTCGCGCGCATCGAGCGGCACGATGGTTTAATTGCGAGCGATTTGACAAAAAAATCTCGAAGAGACAGGTCACCGATCACGTACCTGAGAAAAGGAGAGGAGCAGGAGGTTACGGAGCAGTACAAAAGACACGTGGGACTCACACGTAACGTATTTCTCCGCAACGCGACGCGCATGCTACGTACACATTTCCTGTTACACTTAATACAACTAGGGTTCCGTTGCGCGTAGCAATACGTGACCCGTCGCGTACTCGGGTCCGTCATGAAAAAAAAAAAAAAAAGACGAAGCGTATCACAGATCCCCTTGTCCGTGCGAGATCGCGGCTCTCTGGATCCCGTGCGAAATATGGACTGTGCGTCCCCCACGGCGACCTTCCCCGGGCACAAGTCGAGGAGGGTAAAATCCCGACAGCGACACCGCCGACCGCCGCCGGCAAACGACAACGTCGCCGTCGACGAGGACAATGACGGCCGCGTGATTCAAGGCTGTTTTTGTTGCGTGGCGATAAACAGGTTGCTGAGTAGACAATGTGTCGCGCGGTGTCGAACTAGGCCCATTGCGGGCTTTCGTGTCACACGGAGCTAACTGCCGTACGCGAGATTGGTAACCGGCGGCCGAAGTGTACGGTCGAATCCCATTATTATTCCTGATTGGCCAAACTGAGCTAGAAACCGACGCGGCACGCCGCGCTCTCTCGCGCGTCCCCCGCCGGTAAATAATACCGCCGAATCTGTCCTGGAAATCTCACTACCGGCGGCGGCGGCAATGATGGCGAGGCCACCGGGGGCCGCACGGGTCACATTTCTTGCTGCAAAGTCCACTCAGCGGAACGCGCGGCTCCACGCAACAAAAACAACTTCGAAGCGCCCTTGGCGGCCACCGAGCTTGAGATTTATGTGGGTTAACCCGTGTACCTAATACATCTAGTCCGTCGGTCAGTAACGCGTACTGATTGCTTCCGCCCAGCCCCTTCGCCGCCGTGGACTCATGAAGCGCGAAAATTTCTGCGCACCGGAGAACCTCGCGATTTTTGTGTTTCGGGTCACTTACTTCAGAACTTTCAGAACTTTCTTCTACGAAGTGCGTGTATATTAGTGGCATACGACAAACTGTACATACTAGAGAACAAGACACACTGAGAGAAAAATGTTTGATATTTCTAACTATAATCATATGTAGAGAAATAATTACTATAAATTATGGTCAAGACAACCATTTTTTAGTCAATTACTATAATTTTAGTGATAATAACCTTATGCATGTCAAGACGACTATTTTCTAGTCAATTGCACTATAATTTTAGTGATAACAATCTTATATGCATGTTACTATTACTATCTTCATGTTGGAACAATCAAAAAATAGAGTTGGGCCCAATTTGGTGCTAAACACGAAAATAGTAGTAGTAACATGCATATAAGGTTATTATCACTAAAATTATAGTGCAATTGACTAAAAAATAGTTGTCTTGATCATAATTTATAGTAATTATTTCTCTATATGATTATATAGTTACGAATACGAAACATTTTTCTTTCAGTGTAGGAGAGCGTGTTCCTGGAATCAATTTAAGCAGAAAGCTTCGTATAAACGTGCACAAAATTGACAATACTTACCTAAGTGTAGGCATTCAAAGCTAATAATTCAATTAAAAGTTTTTAAATACCTTATTATATTGAGAAGAAAAAATCTGATAGAAAATCATATAAAGATAATCAAACAATATAAAGATAAAAATTACTGAATAAACATAAAAATCACATAAATTGTTCAAGTTGACATCACACTGAGAGAAAAAAATAGTTGGAATAACTATAATCTCACTATATTTTATAGTTTGTTTTGGCCTCAAACATATATTTATAGTTCATCTAAACATGAAGTTATAGTAGAATGAACACAGATTTATAGTCACCGTCTTATTACTCTATATATATAGTAAAGCATCTTTTGAGAATATAGTTACATGTACCTATATTTGCCAAATATTCCAATTGTATTGACTATATAAAATAGTTAATTTCTCTTACCATTCAATATTTGCTACCTTACTATATTTTTTATTTCAAATAATTATAATTCTTGGTAAAAATTTTACACGGGTCAGTTATACTATGCTTATATTGTAAATATTACAAATATTATGGTAACATTTACTATAAAAATTATATTCCTAACTATAATCTTTTTACTATGCCATTATAATTCCAAATATCATACATTTTTCTCTCAGTGCATTCGGCTATGATACATTGCGCACTGCGATCCAAAATGAATAGCTGCATGAAGAATCTCGTGATTGTTTCTTATCTGCCACCATGTATCATTAATACGCTGTATTAATGATGAAGAAGCAGTCTTCTTCAGAAGAAGAAGATTAATAAAGGCAAACCAGATCTTAGCTTTGAACACCTGTACCTAGGTAACTACTGTGAATTTCATCGGTGTGTGTTTATAAGGAATTTTCTGCTTAAATTGGTCCCAAGAACACGGTTCTTTTAGTATTTACAGTTCGTCATGGGACAACCTGTATGTACGTGAATTAGGAGACGTACGACGCAACACTTAAGGATGCATTGGCCATTTAAAAAATAATGAAAAATTTTGAAAAAAAATTAAAAATAAATCTACATTACATCTGAAAGTAATCATAAATTATTTGATACTGATTCAGTGTCTGGATCAAAAGTTTCTGCGTCCACTTTGCAGTGTAAACCTAGAAAATATAATAATATCAAATGAAGTATTAACAACGCATTAACGACACTTCCAACGTCAATAACACGTCATTAAACGTCAGCCCGCTATTTGGGAGTATTTTAAACCGTACTATTATGGAAGTACTTCATGGTACTTTAGTGAAGAGATAATTAAAAAATAATAACAAACATCCCAACTTTTGTATACATATTTCAACATGTATACAAAATATTCATATGTTGGAACATTGCAGAGTTTTATTGTGGTTCAGGGAGAAGAGTTTAAAAATCAGTTTAGAAATTATATAAAATGGAGTAAATAAATAATAAAAATGTTATGTTAATGCAAAAATATATTATTATTTGACTGTGTCGTACATACATATATACCACACGTTTTTTTACGGAAAATATAAATATTCACGCGTTAATTCCCGGTGGTGCGTTTTGCAGAGATTACGCGGTCAATAGATCCTTGACTCAAAAAATTCGGTGAAATTGTTGGTAAAATGACGGGAAAAACAACGAGCGTCACAATAGAAATCGAGCAATAAATTCGGAGGACGCCGACAAAAACGCTGGTAATTTCGATATTACTCAATTAATGTACAATTATTACGTTGTAAAGTAATTGCGAGTATAATTATTTGATAATTGGACACGATTATAAAACGTAGCGTACCAATTTTGGAAGCCGATTTTCGTGGTTGCAATTCTTTTAAAATCGTTACACGTCACAGAAAATAAAAAAAAAAAGAAACAAACACGGACATTACAACGGGTTTTCGCGCCATTAATCATAATTACGTAATGCGCACTGGATTCGTTAGCGACGATGCATTCGCGCGCGCAACTAAATATTTACCGGACAAAGTTTGCAAAACTTTATAAGGAGAGCCGGGTAATTCTCTTTTTTTTTAATTAAGTGAAATGGACACGATACGGATATAAGTCATCGCGTATACTGCGAATATTTCTATACGGATGAATATAAAAAATACAGAAAAATACAGAGATGTCAACAACGCCATACCCGGAGGTAATATATGAAAGTTGACTAATTAAAAATTTTTTGAAAAAAAGATTCTTGAGACAAAAAGAATCACTTGTTTTATATGTTTCTGTTTTGAGGGGGATTTTCATTTACATGTTTCTCTCGATACTCTCTTCCCAAAAATTCCAAATTAATTGAAAAAACATAGCGCGAACAAAACTCGCGCGCGCGCGAATAACTCTCGTCCGTAGATTAAATCATTATTTTTAAAACGTAGAAACGTCAGATCAGCCCGGAATCACAGCGATAACAGCTGAGGTAAATGTTTCGCGCATTAATCGTAATAATCATAGTCACATCATGGCGCACTGCGCGCGATACAGTTAGCTCGAAAGGAGAGGGCGCCGAATAAATGCTTTGATATATTACGCCGAGTTCAAAGTGACTGACTTACGAGTTACACGTTACGCCAGGAAAAAGTTCTCGTTAGCTCCATGAAGTTGCAAGACACGTTTCCATAATATTCGTGACAAAAGGAAGTTTATCCGTACATGAAAGAGCTTAAACTTAATGACTGCCTTGCAGATAAGAGTTTCCCATTACGCTAATGCACCGCCTACAAATTTCATACGGCGCGCTTTATTTTCATTCATTACTTAGCACAAGTTCGAGGATGCAAATCCTAACAACATCGGAAGTCATTACGACTCCGTAACTTTACGGTACGATTGCCCACTGAGATGTTGGTGTACCCTCTCCTTTCCTTTTTTTTTTCGTCCCTTTTTTATAAGACAATACGTACAGGAGTCTCCACCGAG